TTAACCTTGATTTTTGTATTGGACGATACAAACTTCAAATCACCAAGGGGTAGGGAGTGTATCCAAGAAATACCACGGTGGTACATGGACAAGTCAGTATCAGCATCATATTTCAAAGGCAACAGCTGTGCCAACGTATCGCATATACGTTTTGGACGACGAAATGCCGACAACCACTGATCTTCTATCACTTCCAGATTCGCCGGCTGACACGCAGACCCCCCGAGTCCCGATCGAAAATGGCCTTTCAAGCGCGATGGCGAGAACTGAAGAAAGCAGGATGGACTACGAAGCGGCCCACTGGTCTGTCAGTCGATTTCACCTACCTGAAACCTGGAAATACGAAGAAAGACGTCCGCGGCGTGGACTTCTTCGTAGGAGAGATCGAGTTAATGGCCTACCTTGATGAAGTCGATCTCGGTATGTGTGCGTGCTTGGTAAGGTTGCGACTCTTTTTTACCCTCTGTTGTGTGCAGCTGAGCTTGCAGCGGCGAAATCGGCGGAAGCGAAGCAATCTGCAGCACGCCCCGCCAAGACGAAGAAGCAGGCAGCCAAAGCGACAAGTAAGCCGAAAGCGATCTCTACGATAACAGTGTGCAGCAGCACGGTGAGTGACGAGGCCTCCTCGGCAGCGCCTAAAGCTGCAGCGTCCAGAACGGAAGATTTGTGTTTGTAACGTTGTATGATACAGGTTTGCTGTCGGCTAAAGATGTATTGATCGTTTTGGTACAGCTTTGAGTGATGTGGAAAGCTTACCCACTAGTGCACCACCGTCGAGCCCCCACCGAACATCTCGTAAAGCTACACCTGAGATCATTCTGGGTGTGTCCTCGCACGATACGACGTATGCAGAAGAAGACGACGCAGATGATATTGAGTGCGAGAACACCCATGAAGGTATATTTTGTATGTACACGTTAATGACTCTGCTTAATCTTGTATGATACGTGATTATTCTGTACTAGATTTGCCATCACGCAGGCGCAATCTTGCACTACTGTTTAACGATGTGAACAATGAATCGAGCGCTTCCGGCAGCGCGTCCATTGAATCGAGATCAGAAGGGAACGCTCCAGCAGTCGGAGGCCTAGATGGAACTGTCGAGGCCACGCAAGGTTAGTGGAACTTGTACATACACGTTAGTGATTACTGCCAAACATGTACCTACGATATTACTGTACAGATGACCCCAATATCACTGCAGAAACAGACGCCCCGAGTGCGTACACGCAGTTTAAGTCAGATGGGGAGAACGACGGGGGAGAACGACGAGGGAGACGACGAGGTGTCTTCTGTCGATGGGGATGATGAAGCCGACATGCCGTTACCAGTCCCCTTAGAAATGCATTTCGAAATCAGTTTGATTTCCGGACTGGGTGGAATTGATAACATTGCTTCCGGTGAGGTTTCGGACAGCTTTTTGGAGGACATGGGTGTCCAGGGATGGTCCAACCTGGTTACTCACACTCCATGCGACTACTTGATGGAGCCCTACCAAGCTCGCTCCGTCAGCGAAGTGCAAGCGGACTACCCCAATCTGTTCTCCGGCGTGTCTGGACCAACTCCAAGGGCGCTCACAGCCCCCACGACCCCAATGGGTGCCTTCTTCTACTTCATGCAGCCAGGGCTGTGGGAAGAGATTGCGGACGAGTCAAACAACTATTTCGAGTCAAAACTTGAGGAACCTGTCTATGGTCAACACGCCAAGCAAGTGGCTCGCGAGAAAAAGCATCCCGAGTTCAAGAGGAGTTATAAAGAGACGATCAAGGCAGATCTTGTGAGGGCTGCGCCAATTACTGCTCAAGACTTGTGCGTCTTCGTCGGACTGCTGCTTGCGCGCGCTATAGCTCCCAACAAAGAAAAGCTGCCGAACCACTGGCGAACTACAGACGAGGGAGCGATTCCTCGCGGTTGTTTCGGCCGATACATGGGGCGTGACTGCTTTATGCATATTTCACGAAACCTTCACTTCAGCCCCAACGATGCCGACGCTGGTGCTAGCGTGTCTGGAAGTTGCGTCCGGTGATCGACGCACTTCAAACCCGTTTTCAAGCTGCCTTCATACCTCCTGGCATCATGGCCTTCGATGAGGCAATGCTGCCTTCGCGGTCAACGTTCAACAGAATGCGGGTGTACATGAAAGATAAACCTCACAAATGGGGAACTAAATTGTCCATGC